TTAGTTTATTTGATCTTTTATATTATTACTGTTATTATGTAAATGATATAAGACCTGGGTGTGCTCACACCTATAAATATTGGATTGCTGGTGGTGGATATTTGATATTCTTTTACTGCTTTACTTGCAATGGGCAGGTGTCTGCTTGTACCGATGGGAACATAGTGTTTTAAAGAAGAACTTAAAGGGTAACTCCACTTTTGTGGAAGAAAATACAGCAAATATCATAGCATAAACAATTGCTACACAAAGCAAACTGTAATTAAATGTTATTAAAAATGACCTTTCCTTTTCAATCTGCATCTGTAATTTTGTGTAGAATTCAATGCAATATGGTAGCCTGGAGGCCTTGAGAAGAAGTCGGAAGTGACGAAACGTGTCAGGGTCGTGACGTCAGACGCAAAACCGGAAGGAGCAGCGCGGCCATCTTGGATGTGGTTCTTGAATAGGATGGACGGTTTTTTCTTATATGTAAGCAGATATTAAATGTTTGAATTTTATGCATTTACTCCACTGAGTCTTTTCTTCTCTGCCCTGTGAGGAACGGGGGGATCCCACTGCGTACTCCCTTAAGAGGACAGCCATCTGGCATGTGGGAGTGTATGAAACGCCTGTGCAAGCTGAAAGAGGGTAATAGCATGTTATCCTAAGCAGAGTGGTGGCACCAATTTGGATTAGTGCACCTTATCACTAGTTGCATATTTTGGATTTGTTGTATTTCACTTGTTGGAGTGATTAACCGCATGCCGCCCAGCCACTGTACATATACGGCGGCAGGGCGGCACTCACAGGCAAAACCACGTTTTAAGACGTGTGTTTTGTAAACAAATAGGGGGCGCGCGCGAGGCGCACCGCCACCCTATTTGTCCAGCGGATCACCGCCGCAAATGTCAGTCGCCGGGTCACAGCCGCTCCTTAGCGGCTATGTCCCGGCGATCGGCGGCAAACAGTGACAGAGAACACAGCTGCAGTAGCTGTGCTGTCTGTCACTTCCTTCTCAGCTCGAGGATGAGCTGATCGAGAAAGAACAGTTTCTCTTTCTCGATCAGCCTTCTCCCGCCCAGTACACACCCCCGCCCCCTAGTAAAACACTCCCCTCACTCCTATAACCCTTCGCTGCAAAATAAAGTTAACCCCTTTCCTCCCCAGTGCCATTAGTACAGTGTCAGTTTGTTTTTTTTTGCACTGATCACTGTATTAGTGTTTTTGGGGATGTCAGTGACCCCAAGTCAGTACCCCCCAATGTCAAAATGTCCGCCGCAGTCCCGCCATAAGTCGCTGGTTGCTGCCATAAGTCCCTGATCGCCGCCATAATTCGCTGATCGCCGCCATTATTAGTATAAAAAAAAACTAAAAATCCCAGTATCTTTCCCGCCATTTGTAAACACTATAACCTTCACGTAAACCAATTAATTTAAACGTATTGGGTTTTTTTTTAGCAAAGACATGTTGCAGAATGCATTTTGGCAGAAATTTATGACTAAATTTGATTTTTGCATTTTTTTTTTTTTACTGGACATGTTTTATAGCAAAAAGTCCAAAATATTGTTTTTTTTTTCCTCAAAATTGTCAGACTTTTTTTTTATAGCGCAAAAAATAAAAACCGCACAGGCGATCAAATACCACCGAAAGAAAGCTCAATTTGTGGGGAAAAAAGGATGTAAATTTCATTTACGTACCATATTGCATGACCGTGCAATTGTCCGTTAAACTAGCGCAGCGTTGTATAGCAAAAAAATGGCGTAAATTGCAGTATTTATACCATAGTTTGTAGACGCTATAACTTCCACACAAAGCAATCAATATACACTCATTGGGATTTTTTTTTACCAAAAACATGGAGCAGAATACATTTTGGCCTAAATTTATAACCAACTTTGAGTTTACTATATATTTTTTATAGCTGAAAATAAAAAATATTGTTTTTCTTCAAAATTTTTGGCCTTTTTTTGTTTATAGCGTGAAAAATAAAAAGAACACAGGTGATAAAATTACACCGAAAGAAAGCTCTATTTGTGTGAAAAAAAGGACGTAAATTTTGTTTGGGTGCAGCATTGCATGACCCGCGCAATTATCAGTTGAATTAGTGCAGCGCCGAGTAGCAAAAAGAGGCCTGGTCATTAAGGGGGGTAAATCCTCAGGAGCTCAAGTGGTTAACTCACTATATCACAAGTTGAGTCGTGTGGATTCATCGAACTTCACGTGTGGAGTTTAATATTGTATAATTATAATTTCTGTTTTTTGTTTTATTTTACAAATATGTAATAACGGTGTTTTTTTGTTTTTTGTCTTTTTTTGTCACGAGTGTTTTTGCATCATATCACAAATTATTATATTATTTGAAAGATAATGCACTATATTCAGTTTAAATTTTTTTGAGGTATCTTGGATTGAAGTGGCGAATTGGATACTTCTCACATTTGGAAGATTGAATAGTGTGGACATTTTTGGACTTTGCATTGTGGACATTTCTTTGGATTTATATTTGGGGAAATTTGGGGTAGGATTTGAGTTTTGGGGAAGGATTACAGAAAAGGTTTTATGATGTAGCCTGGAGGCGTTCTGTACATACAAAGTGGATTTCTATCCTTTGTGGACATTGAAGAATAGTTTTAGATCACAGTTTTTGTGTCCGGAGTTCAGCTTTAATATTAGCAAGATCTACAGATAACTACACTTAGAACCATTTAAAGACAAACAAAAAAAAAATATGACAGGTTTAGATAAGAGTTCTTCCCTGCGGAAAGTAAACATTACAGAGAAAACGAACAAGTATTAAATGTATCTGGAATGTTGGCTTGAACAAGGAAATGATCATTGACAGTGACAGGTGCACTTGCAGCCTGAGCTGACAACTCGCAGAGCTCCAACCAACAAACAATACCGTTTTGTTATTACAACCTCATGTGCACTCCGAGCGCTGCCAACAATGTAAACACCTGCATCTCCTAATACAGAAAGAATGCTTGTGGGGAGATATATGGCCTGTGTGCAGATGTTCCAGCCCTGGAAATGGGATAGAAGAGACAACGCAGAGCAGAGCTGTCTTCCCTGTTAGATATATATTGCGGAGATGGGGACACCAGTGCTGGCCACCTGTTGCTCAATGACTTTCTCCCAACACTCCGTCAGGGCTGGAATGAGACTTTCATTCAAGAGAACCAGTCTCAACTGGGGTTGTGTTAGATTCTGAATATTTTGTCATTGTTATTATTAAGGCCTCATGCACACGGCTTTATTAAAGCAAAACTTAAAGTGTTACTAAATCCACAACAGTAAAAATCAGTCTGTATATGCAGTAAAACATGCTTGTTATACTCACTGTGGAACCTAAGGGGTTAATCCTCTGTATTGTGTAAAAAGGCAGTTTGATCCTGTCTTCTCTGATCCTCCCCTTCTTCCACAGTTCCCAATCCCTCTGCTGAGAGCCTTGAGGGCAAGCTGCACATGCTCAGTTTGGTGTGTATTGCTAGTTAAAAAAAAAATTCCTTTGGGCGAGTGCATGTGATCAGCACAGGGCCAATCAGCACTGTCCAGACAGAGGGTTAAGGGTTATGCAGCCTCATAGGACAAACAGAGGAGAATGAAAACACCTCCTACAAGCTTTAACCAGTGCTCAGATGGACACTGATAGAAGTCACTATACTGCTATATACTGCTGATGAGAAAAGGTATTAAGCAGTATATATTTGCCAAAATAAAATAATTGCATTTCCATGTTCTGTATACCAGCCTTTCTCAACTAGGGTGTCCAGGCACCCTGTGGTGCCTTGAGGTTTCTTCAGGGGTGCCTTGGCAAAATGTTTAAAAATTGTCCAAAACTTGTATACAAGCCAGCGGGTGGAACAAGCCGGCCTTTTAGTTACACAAAGCCACAGGTTTTCATTGTGCACCATTATGACTTTTTAGCCGCCGGCATTCTGACAACCCATGACATCATCCGTTGATAAGGATGTCAGCTGCCAGCACAGCATCCTTGTTTGACCCCACCCTGCCCCTCTCCATCAGTGCTGGGGTCACGTTAGCTCAGTGATGGAGAAAAACTGAGGGAGAAGAGAAACAATGGAATACTAGTCAGTACCAGTGTGCAAAAGTATATTTGCTTTGGAAGAATAAATCACCTCTAATGTTGGGTGTCCTACATGTGTGGATGTTGCTGCATTATATAAAACTATTAGAATAGTTTTTTCACATTTTAGAATGGGGTGCCTCAAGACTGTCCATCATTTTAAAGGGTGCCTTGACTAAAAAAAGGTTGAGAAACACTGCTGTATACTGTGGGAGACCAGATATAGTGAATGCAGAGTCCTGGGTTTAGTAACACTTTATTGATGAGAAATAATTACATGTCTATATACGTTGTAAATAAGTACTGACTACAGTGCATTATCCAACAATACAAATGTATGGGGCTAGAAAAGGCAAGTTGTATAAAATGAAATGTATAAGGCAAGATAATTGCATTTCCATGTTCTGTGCACTGTGGGAGACCAGATATAGTGAATGCAGGGTCTGGGGGAGACCAGATATAGTGAATGCAGGGTCCGGGGGGAGACCGGATATAGTGAATGCAGGGTCCGGGGAGACCGGATATAGTGAATGCAGGGTCCGGGGGAGACCGGATATAGTGAATGCAGGGTCTGGGGAGATCAGATATAGTGAATGCAGGGTGGGGGAGACCAGATATAGTGAATGCAGGGTCCGGGGAGATCAGATATAGTGAATGCAGGGTCGGGGGGGAGACCAGATATAGTGAATGCAGGGTCTGGGGGAGACCAGATATAGTGAATGCAGGGTCCGGGGAGATCAGATATAGTGAATGCAGGGTCCGGGGGAGACCAGATATAGTGTGAATGCAGGGTCCGGGGAGACCAGATATAGTGAATGCAGGGTCCGGGGAGACCGGATATAGTGAATGCAGGGTCCGGGGAGACCAGATATAGTGAATGCAGGGTCCGGGGAGACCAGATATAGTGAATGCAGGGTCCGGGGAGGTCAGATATAGTGAATGCAGGGTCCGGGAGACCAGATATAGTGAATGCAGGGTCCGGGGAGACCAGATATAGTGAATACAGGGTCTGGGGAGATCAGATATAGTGAATGCAGGGTCCGGGGAGACCAGATATAGTGAATGCGGGGTCCGGGGAGACCAGATATAGTGAATGCAGGGTCCAGGGGAGACCAGATATAGTGAATGCAGGGTCATGGGGGGAGACCAGATATAGTGAATGCAGGGTCCGGGGAGACCAGATATAGTGAATGCAGGGTCCGGGGAGACCGGATATAGTGAATGCAGGGTCCTGGGGAGACCAGATATAGTGAATGCAGGGTCTGGGGAGATCAGATATAGTGAATGCAGGGTCTGGGGGAGACCAGATATAGTGAATGCAGGGTCCGGGGAGACCAGATATAGTGAATGCAGGGTCCTAGGATTAGTAACACTTTAAAGTGGAACTGAAGGCAAAAAATTTAAATTCGTGAGCAGGCAGGCTCTTAATTGCAGAAGAGACAATGCAATGTCTCTTCTGCAAAAACACACTCACCTGTCTGTTCGCAATCCTCTGCAGAATGTACACTGATCTGCGCATGCGCAGCTCAGTGCACATTCCATAATGTTAATATTACCATCGCACATGTTCCTGGAATAGGCTCGAAGGTAGCAGGTGCTGCAGCACTGAAGACATCATTGGTCAATGTACACATTTGTCAGTATACCACGGATCATCAAGTGTTGTCTGAACGTTTTTTGAAGAATAATTGCATCACAAAGAACAAAGTGCAACGTGCAAAGTGCAAGAGCCTCATAGGACATGTGCCTGACAAAGTTGTCCTGCACAGCTCTGATATGTTGGACTCTGTCCTTCAGTTTACATCCTAGCACACCGCCTTTGTGCTGGGATAACTGCAGTACTGAGCATGCGTGGGTGACATCATTCCACATTAGCCAATCAAAAGAAAGACCGCCACCCAGGAGAACCCAGAAGAAGATATATAGGTAAAGTTGATCCAGGGAATATCCGATTGCCTCTAGGGGGATCAGGAATGTTTTTCCCAGCAGGAGCAAATAGGATCGTCCTTTCCTGAGTTTTTTTTTTTTGCCTTCCTCTGGACCAACTGTGGGTGAAGGATTATAACTTTTTTTTTCTATAGTTGAACTGGATGGACTTTTGTCTTTTTTTCAGCCAGACTAACTATGTAACTATGTAAGATACCAGCACCAGTGAGGAACCTTGCATACATAGGTAGGCATGCCTGCCTTTAGTTCAACTTCAACTCCAAAAAGGAATTTGTTCCACTTTAACACTCCCCCCTCCCCATGCAGAATTGTGAGAATTTTCTGGTTTATTTTTGCATTTTTAGCCCTGCACCATTCCAGCTTAGGCCAAAATGACGTGTACCTGGTCCTGGGATAGTTATATCACATCTCCCAGGAGACCACAGGATTGGCACACACGGCAGCTGGAGGGGAATGGGGGGGTCTGGCATATCATCCGAGCTGTCTGCCTGCACCCTCAAGAGCCATCCATTCGAAAAGGACCAAGATGGCAGCGCAGGACCCATTGTGTGCCACTCACAAATCAATGCTGGATTTGCTGTGCGAGTGAGAATGTACTTTAAGGAGCTCTACAACACTACAGGTAAGTGGGAAAAAGCGTGGGGGGGGATGGGGGGAGTTGAATATTGCTTTAAATTACTCCCATCTACGATGGATCTGCCAGGCTGGTTTTGGTGTTTTGAGGTGTATGGTGTTTAGAAGCATATGTGCTTAAACCCATTCCATTTGGTAGAATATCGATCAATATTTCACACAAATGACGTAGATGGACATTTCCCTCCCCCTGTGGACATTGTATTCTGATAGTGGCACCTGCAGTTGTCAGAATACATTTCATTCCTGGAAAGGATAGTATCGCAGGGAAATGGGTTATAAAACAAGAGGCACAAGTGAGGGATATAATGGTAGGGGAAGAATTTGGATCATATAAGGACATGGAGGAAAAAAAGGGAGAAATTGTCAATAAGATGGATAGACTACGATATTACCAACTGAAACACTTTTTTGAGAGTCTTCCAAAGCCTATAAAAACTAGAAAAGAGTGGAATCCATTTGAGAGAATATTGGAGACACGGGGAAATGGTAGACATGGAATTGCAAAAATACACACAAGATTTTAATGGAATTAGACACTGACACAAAACTAATACACATAGAGAAATGGGAAAGAGATATGGGAAGAGAAATAGAGGAGGAGGAGCAGAGGAAAATGTTCATATTAATTCACGAAAATATTAGTATGCGGGAAGTAGAAATAAATTATAAGTGTTTGATGAGATGGCACATTACCCCTAATGTGGAGCACAAGATGAATAAGGAAATTTCACGGTTATGTTGAGAGGTTGTGGAGAAGTGGGCACGTGGTATCATGTCTGGTGGGAGTGTCCAGAAATACAGGTGTTTTGGCGGAGGATAGTTTATTTGATAGGGAAAATAACTGAAATTAACATAGGATTAGACCCAGAATTATGTCTCCTCCATATCTCAGAACTCCCAGTGAAATCATATAAGAGATCGGGGATATGGCATTATCTGACCGCAGCAAAGAGCCTGATACCTAGGTTTTGGAAAAAAAAGAGAGGTGCCAACTGAGGAGGATTGGATGGGCAGCAGAATGAATCAGATCTGTGGGACAGAAAAACTGTATTATATGCATATGGACAAGATGGAGATGTATAATATAAAATGGAAAGGATGGGAAGAATATAGAGAAAAGGTGAAATATATGAAGATATAATACCCCTGGAATTGGATTTAGAAATAATAGAAATACATGGTGTAAAGGAGAGAAGAGAAAATGTAGAGTGGGGGGAGGGGGGGGGGGGGGGAGACAGTGGGTGATTGAGGTGGGGGGAGTGGGAAGGGAGGAAGGGTAGAGGGGATTGATATAAACAAATAATGCAAGTTGGAAGATACTGTTTTGATTATCATTTTAATAGAAATGTCAAAGTGATCTGTATTTGGATTGAAAAATTAATAAATATTTATAAAAAAAAAAAAAAAAGAATACATTGATTGATGGCTGACGTCGACAGAAGTCGATCAAACAATTGATTTTTGTTAATCACGGATGGCCACATACTGATCAAAATCTGGACAGTCCCTACTGCACCAGCTGAGCTCCGATTGGTGTATGGCCAGCTTTACTCTGGAATACAGCGAATGTCACCTATGGGGTAATTAGTTCTATTGTGACCATTGCCAGTCGCTGTAATTACTGAACACTTCAAACTCCAGTTCTGCAGTCATGTCAGTGATTATACCACGGATTAAACACGGCAGTGTGACCTTTCCCAAAGTTCAGGCGGCATGTAAGTATCATGAGACATTGTTGTCCAAAGTGAGTTGCACCTCTCGGCTAATGCGATTTCGTGATTTAAAAGCCTGAAGTTGGCTTATGATACATTTGTTGTAAGCCAAAAAAAAAAAAAAAGCACCTGCTTTTTTTTTCCAGAGACCACCCACACAGTTCTGGTAGGGATATACTACACAGACCAACCAGTTCTATTCCCAGCAGCCTCAATGAAATGTCTGGGTATGACCGATGTTTTAACGGTATTGGGTTACAGTTTAACAAGAAAGCAATTAACCAAAGACTAATTTAGAAGGATAATGTTCTTGGCATTCAGCGTTGAGGTTAAAGAGGACCTGTTGGTATGTTGGCGGTGGTTATTTTTTGCTTTATTGCATACTGCCGAAATTTGTGTACGAGGATGTAAAACCAGGCTAGGCTTTGACCCTGTACTGACCCATTCAGGCATACTTAAAGGATGAGTGTGCTTTTCTGTACACTTAGCATGCCTCAAATACGTAGGCACACTACCGCACATTCATGGATATAAAATTCTGCCTATTTGCAAGAGAAATCTGCTGGGCCTATCCAAGTCTGCCACAATGGTTACCGTATGTGTATATATATATATATTTATTTTTTTTTATATATATATACATATATATATATATGTACACATATAAATTATAGGTACTTATATAGCGCTGTCAATTTACACAGTGGTTTACATATATATTGTACATTCACATCAGTCCCCAACCCTCAAGGGGTGTACAATCTAAGGTCCCTAACTCACATTCATACATACACATACTAGGGACAATTTAGACAGAAGCCAATTAACCTACCAGCATGTCTTTTGGAGTGTGGGAGGAAACCGAAGTACCCAGAGCAAACCCACGCAGGCACAGGGACAACATGAAAACTCCAGGCAGGTGGTGCCGTGGTTGGGACTTGAACCAACGACACTAGTACTGCCAGGCGGAAGTGCTAACCATTTAGCCACTGTGCTGCCCACTGCAGTGTGCCAATAATCTCTTGGTGGGTGTTTATTCCAAGATAAAAGAGAGAGAAGCAGCACCATCTAAATGCAGCAATATAAGCAAATAATCACAATACTAGTAGTCAAATGGGGCCATGACCTGATGAAGGAGCATCTATGCTCCGAACGCGTGCCACGCCTACTGCTGCTGTACCTGGAGCCAACATCACTCCTGCCTGCCCTGAGGATCCACACCGACCAAGAAGTAATGGGGACCATCAGCACAGTGCTTTGGAGAACAGCCTGTAGCGGAACCAGCCAGGGGTTGCACAGCGGTTGACACCAATTTGACAAGCACTCATTTGACAACTACTATTGTGAGTTGCCAATTTTGTAGAAATAAATGATTTGCTTATATTAACAGCTCTTCACTCCGTGGGATCCTACCAAAAACAAACATAAAATAATAACATAATATAATGTAACTAAAAGAAGATCAATCGAAAAAATGAAAAAAAACTTCCACCAAAGTATAACAGAGTGAAATGAAGAGAATAGAGTCCACCACATAGATCTTCTTATAAAGGAAAGCCTCTGTAATTCATATATTCACTCCAGCACCACCGTGTTCTTTAGGTGACAATCACCCCATCGGACTAAATACTCACCAGAACATGGTGTGAATTATCCTCCTCTTGGACCCGCAGTCACCGCCGCTCAAAAAAATCGATAGAACCAGTGCATAACTGTATAGAAGTGTGAGGAAAGCACTCGAATCTTCCGGAAAAGCAGGAACGGCAGCTGTTCCCCCGGAGCGGTAACACAAGCTCTGCTTACTTCACGACAAAAACATATTTATTTCTTTTTTGTACATTACCAAAAACAGCAGTTCATTGGTTTTACAGCCTTTTTTTTTTTTTGACTCACCGGCAGGGGCAGACTGACCATTTGGAAACTTGGGCACTGCCTGAGGGCCCAGGGTCAGTAGGGGGGCCGCATGAGAAGCCCCTGGTACCTTTCATAGGCTGTTTTGGGTGTGGTTTGAGTGTGGGTGAAGACATAGGGGCCCCATGATCCCCTACTGCCC